AAAAAACGCGTAGTCAGAACGCGGGCCTTGTTTGGTTTATCGAACTGCGTTCTCCCTCCACTCTCACTTCCGCTCTGCCCCGCCGTGACAGCAAATGTTTCTGCACATTTGTTCGGTCTCCCCATGCCCGATCACGCAGACATCCGCCGGCTCCTGATGTTGGGGTTGGCTCGGGGCCGCGCTGTGCGCGCGCGGCAGCGCGTTGCTTTCGTTTTCTCTTCCTTGTGCTCTAGCCTTCTCGTTTTCATAGCTCGCAGCTGTGGGGCATCTGCAGAGGGCGCGCGCACATGTCCCGGTCATCAGTGCCATCCTCTGCAATCAGTTTTTGTCGAGTCCGTCCACGGGAATGGGGAAGCTTGTTTGTGAGGGCTCACGGGGGATCAGAAGGTTCGAGCTCACGGGGGATGCTCAATGATTTGCCTGGCAAGTTCCCTGTATGGGGATGCCTGGAGCTCTGACAGGGCCTCTGGCGGAACCTTCTTGGCGCTCTGGCGAGGCCTTTCAAGGGTTGAGGGAGGGGCACGAAACCTGAGAAATTACATAGTATAGCCACACCCCTCGCTCGGGCGGGTCCGCCCTGCAAGGGTGGGAGGAGCAAGAACCGCGTGAAAGAAGATGGTGTGTGTGTGTGTGCCCTGCTCTCTCTGGCGGGGGGGTCCCTGGCGCTTTGGCGGGGCTTGCTCAGGAGGGGAGGGAGGAGCACGAAACCTGAGGAAAATGACGGTCCAACCACACCCCGTGCGCTCTGAAAGGGCTATCTCGGGTGTGGTGTGAAGACAAGAAAGAACAGGGACTGTATATGGTATAGCAACACCCATCTCGCTGTGCCGGGGCCGCCCTTGAGGGGTGGGAGGGGCACAGCAGCTTGTGAAATGATGAGGTATAGCGATGCCCCGCTCGCTCTGGCGGGGCCTGTCCAGCGCACTGGCGGGGCCGTCCCAGGAGAGGAGGGAGGAGCACGAAAGCTGAGGGTTGAGGGGGGGAAGAGGAGACAGAGGAGGGCATGGAGACAAGGGGGCGGGAGGGAAGGAGGGACGGGAGGGGGGAAACCCAGGCAAGCTGGGCCGTCGTCGAGCGCCCTGGGGCCTCCCGCTCCCGCTCTGTGGCCCAGCTTGGGCCTGTCCTGGGGCCTCTGGGCTTGACGGGCTCCCAAAACCGCTAAGACGCCTCAAGGGACCCCCAAGAGGGCCCCAAAACCGCCCAAGAGAACCCCACGCACACACACACACACACACACACACACACACACAGACACACACTTGCACGTGTGTGTGAATGCCATCGCTCGGATGCCGTCCGTTCAAGTGCTCATCTGCATCCTGGACGGCCGCGCTTCCTCTAGGCCACTAGTTCGGGATCCGACATTCGCGAAATGGCATTCGCGACCGGAGTTTTTGTTGCTCGATTGGTGACCTCCTCGAGAAGCCTTGCCCTTGGCTTGCCCGGTGCTTGGCAACAGACAGCCACGCGACTACTTGAATTGAATGCGCTTCTCATGCAGTAGTCTCACTCACTCAGAACAGTTGCCACGTTTTTTCATGCTGCAAGGAACAGGCAGTGTAGCGGACCCCCACCAGCTACCGCTCGGGGGAGCGACGTGCTTCACCTGTAAGTATCTGGCCTGCGGTCGTTACGCAAGAGCTTGCAATCTCAAGCATCATGGTCCGCGACAGGGTTAAGCGCCTCTGTGAAGCCCTTATGAAATCATTTTGTCCCGCTGCTGCTGTCTTCACTATTGTATGCTTATGGCTAGTGAGAGTGTTCTCTGCGGCAGTCTCGGCAGGCATCTGCCAGTACTTGGGCTAGTTTCGAAGACTTTCTTTGAGGTTGGCGTTCCGCGCTGTCTGGCCCAAGGTGGCCTTGAGGTTGCGTGATGCCGAAGCGCCCATTTTGCTTCATTGTACCCTTGCTGCGTTCGTTCGCTGTACCCTTCCGAATTCTGAGCCTTTCTCTGCTACATTTTTCCTCATTGCCGCAGGCGGACCCGCCTGCCTGCGCGCAGTGCGCCGCCTCTCTCTTGGTTAGGGGGAGTCTCATCGTGAGGAGGAGGTGGAGGAGGAGGAGGAGCGACTGCAGGCGCGAGGGAGGAGGAGGGTAGGCGCAAGCCTCCCGCGCCTGGGGCAAGCACCTGCCCGTCCCGCCCGCCGCATCCAATTCCCAAAGGCCTCCCCTCGGGAGAAGAGGTCGATGGATGGCGCCGCCGTGTGTTTCGGCCACCTCCCACCTTCCCTAGGCAGCAAGATGCGTGGAGCGGTAAGAGCTCGCGCAGTTTTGCACGTTGTGCCGTTGCGCCATGCCGAGGTGCAGGTCAAGGCCCCCGCGCAATTTAGTTTTGGGTGAAGCCAGGGGAACATTCTGACAAGGCGCTCGATCTGGAAGAAAAAACAAGAAAAAAAAAACGCCCAAGGGAACCCCGAGACGGCCCCAGAGCCGTCCAAAACGGCGCAAGAGGGTCCCAAGAAGACCCCAAGAAAGGCCCAAGAGGGGGAACGCGAACTGAGAAGTCAAGCTATCCGCCCCAAGATGCCCCCAAGATGCCCCCAAGAGGCCCCAAGAGGCCCCCAGGAAGTCCCCAAGAGGCCCCAAGAGGCCCCCAAGAGCCCAGAAGAGGCTCCAAGAGAGCCCCGAGACGGCCAAAGAGTCACCCAAAACGGCGCAAGATGGCCCCAAGAAGGCCCCAAGAGGGGCCCAAGAGAGGGAACGCGAACTGAAATGTCAAGCTCTTCGCCCCAAGATGCCCCCAAGAGGCCCCCACGGAGCCACCAAGAGGCCCCAAGAGGCCCCGGGGCCGGGCCCCGACAGCGAGCGCATCGGAGGACTGGGGCTTCCGAGACCGCTCCCAGAGCACCGGAGCCCCCAGACTGCTCCAGAAAGCTCCAAGGCGCTCCCAGAGGACTTCGACAAGCCCCTCCAAGACAGCCCAGATAGAACCAACGTGGCCCAGTATGGGCTGGAGACGGCAAGTTCACAGCCCAAGAGGCCTCCAAGAGGCTTCAAGAGAGCTCCGTGAGGCGTCCCGAGAGAGCCCGATGAGGCCCAAACCCTTGATTTTCATTTTTGTTGTTCAATGTTTTCCGCTGTCTCGCGTTCTCGAGCTTCCAACGCTCGAAGACGGCCGAAGACGCCCCCAAGACCGCCCGGAGACCGCCGAAGAGGCCCCCAAAGGAGCCCCAAGACGGCCCTAGAGAGCACGAAAGTTGCCCAGGAGGAGCCCCAGACAAGGGCCTTCTAAGAGTATCTCGAGACCGTCTGGGGCCGCTGGGATTGCTGTCTGAGGGCTCCCCGGGGCGATTTTAGGCCTTCCAGAGGCGGGCCCGGGCCCCGGGACCCGCATTTGCGGTCGAGGCTCCAGCCCTCGGCCCCCGGGGGCCCCCTGGTGCGCGCGGCGCCCCCGAGGGGCGACGCACACACAGTATTAGTATGCTCGGGCGACGCCGACTACTTGACGACATAGCCGAACTCAGATTCCCCTGAGCCCGATCTGTGCGTCGCAGCCGAAGGTGTCTGTGCTTCCCCTTTTCTGGGCTTCCTCGGAGCAGCTCCGCAGTCGCATCTCCGGAGAATTGGTTCGGCGCGAACTCGCCAGCCTTGTCGAGGGTGAAGGCACACCGCCAGAGGTATGATGGGAAATGGCATCTCGAGCGAGACTCCTCTGGGCGAGGTCCCTCCAGGACCGCCCGCGGGTGGAGGCGGGCCCCCAGGAGAGGGGGAGACCACCACACAGAGACAAGCTAACGCCTCGCAGAGTCGCAGCTGCGCCAGCCGCAGGGTCAAGAGTCTTCTGACCCTCGGAGCGGGGGCAGGAGGAGCAGGATGAGAATTGGGGGACCGCGGCTGACGACGCAAAGAGCAAATTTAACCGCCTGTCCAGTCGGTTCGACCGGCTGATTCATGCACACCCGCTCTCTTCCCGCACCTCCCCGTTCTGACCCTGAAATTATTCATCTCTCCCCCTTCGTCACTCGTCTGTCCCTCATTATCCCCCTCCCTCATCCCCCATTTCTCCGTTACCCGTCCCTCCTCTCTTGTTTTCATCGCTCTTCCATCCTTCATCTGCATCTTCATCTATATCTTGGTCACCATCACCATCATCACCATCACCATCACCATCACCATCAACATCAACATCATCGGCAGCGTACTCATCACCAGACCGACTGTATTGCCCATGCTCCTGCATACTCACCTCAACATGGCCCTCTTCATCATATTCCATGCGGCCCCCCTTATCATCGGCATAAGCACCACCAAGGCATCTAGAAATTCAGACGCATACGGCGGCCACTGCCCTATGCAAAGAGGCCCGAGTCTCCCCCGGCAAACAAATATACTCCTGTGAAAGCCTCTCCTTGCGATTGCGATTGGTGAACACACTGCGGGGCTTTAAAAAAAACGCATGCCAATGGATCTGGACAAAAGGTCGCACAATAGGTCTGCGAACACCCTCCTGAGCGAAGGGATGTGCCACATAGCTTGGCCCACGACGAATTACTTGCAAAGAAATGCGTGCAGCGCGATAGTTTGAACCACGTCGCGTGCGACACATACCTTGCACATCCAGGGCAAGAGCTCGCTGTTTGGGCCTCACCGAAAATCATGCACAGCGCAATTGCTATGCAAAACTAAACCTTTCCCGGCTCGAGCCGGAGATCAGAAAATTTGCACATTGCCTCTTGCCTCATGTTGTTATCGTCGTGCTAAAGGACCACATCCCAGAAGTAGTTTTGAGCACTCCGAAGAATATCGACACACTGTCGCACGAGTATCGCCTCCCAGGGCCCCACACGGGGAAACCCTCGAGCTTCGGTAATTTCCTGGTGCTCGAGAATACTTCTGGTGCTCAAGGCTAAAATAGGCTAGAGCATCCCAACGTCAGGTCGGGCATGCCCCCCTACAGGCGGGGTTTTTGCATGAAACATTAAAACATATTCACAACAAATCATTATCAACAAATAAAACAACTTTCCCCCGACTTATGTTTTTGATTATTTTCTTACTATGCCTCCTGTACGGGGACAGGCCCGACTTAAAAGTGGGCTGGAACATCCAAACCTTTGCCAAGATTGGCACGGAGGCGTTGCACGAGAGGACCAAAAGGCGACGGGAGGGCACTGCGCGCCCAGGCGAATGGGTGAATGGGGGAACACTGCGACGCGACCCGCGGGAGCGCGGCTGCTCATCCGCCGGAGAAGGACGAGTTGAGACAACGGGAGCGGGAAGCTCGGCAGCTCGGGCCCAGAGATCCAACGCATTGACAAAAATCACGACGGAGGTTTTTCGCAATTCTCGGCCTCCAGGGGCCCTTACTGGACCTCGGAACCGTTCAAAAACGACTCAGGATGAACAACCGGTCCTGGGGAATGGGTCGAGACTTCTGGGGACCTCATATGGGAAAAAACCACGACATCGGATCTCAGGGGGGGCGTCCAAGGTGCGGCCCAGGGGGGGGGGGCCGGGGACGTATTGAAGTAAGAAGAGGCGCCATGAAATCTGGGGAACTGCAACAAGGACCTTGGCCGCCGGGCCGCCCGATGCGCCGGCGACCCGATGATCCGTCCCCGCCGCGCCACACTCAACGCGCACCGGCGCAGAGTGGATCCCCGGCGGCCGTCGCGGCGCTGTCAGGCGGCCTGCGGGCACTCCGCGCGCCTGGGCTGCCCCAGGACGTGTCCGCGAAGGTGATCCTCTCCGACCCCGCGAGGGCTTCCGTGCGAGCAGCTTCGCCAGCCGTGCTGCGCCGCCACTTGGCCGCGCCCACTGCAGTGGAGGCCAGTCCACAAGACACCTTCCACAAGAAGCAAAACCCAGAAACACCAGAACGTCCATGGACGTTTGGAGTGGGAACGTCACGCCAGGGCTGAACCTGAACGGTGTTTTTCGTTTTCATTTTGTTTTCGTTTTCCCTCGCTTTTGTCTCGAATCCGCCTTCACCGCAAAACGAAGTCGAAACGAAAATGGCCCACGAAATCACAAAAAAACACCGCTTAGATCCAGCCCTGCGTCACGCTTTCCGTAGCAACAGCATCGAAACCCAAGAAACCCAGGGCACCGTGGAGGCAAGCAGGAGGAGGAAGGAGGAGTAGGAGGAGGAGGAGGAGGGTGTTTCTTGGCATGGGCCTACACTGGTAGTTGGTGGCGCAAGGGGGGCGGCCTCCTGAGAAGGCGGGCGGGGCGTCTTGGAAGGCAAAAAGGCTTGCAACAAGAAGGCTTCTTGAGCGCCAGGTTCTGAGAAGCGCCCTGGAATTCTTGAACGCCGGGCTGCCTTCCTGGACGCCGGGCTGCCTTCCTGGAATTCCTGGAAGTGAAAGGAAGGGGGGCTCTAGGAAGGCTTCTTGAACGCAGGGCTGCCTTCCTGGAATTCCTGGAAGGCCCGCCGCCCTTTCAGGAGCCCAAGCCGCTGGCGCCAGTCCCTCTTGTGGGGGCGCTGCCAAGCCACAAGGTCCACGGGAGCTCAAGGCAGTTTCTTGCTGAGCAAGTGCCGTCGGCCCAAACCGCTCGAGACAAACGGGCTGCGGGCCAAACGCGTCAGGGGCACTGCCAAGGTTGGGGGCGGGCTGGGTGGACCGCAGAGGGGGCAACGAAGCCTCAGAAGCTCCGATCTTCGATCCTCGATCCTTAAATCCTTCGATCCTTCGATCTTCGATTTTCGATCCTCGATCCTTCGATCTTTCGATCTTTCGATCCTCGATCCTCGATCCCTTCATCCGCATCGATGCCTCGAGATATCGGAGGATCGGCGACTCGAGAGTCGCAGGCTCGAGGACTCCAGGGGGACACGTGACGGGGAAGTCAGAGCCTCCTTGTAGTTCTCCGCACCGAGTGGGCATCCGAAAACAAATCACTATTCCCTCCTCGTCCCACCTCCTCCTCCTCAATCTCCTCCCCACTACTCCTAGTGCGCCTCCACTTCTCCTCCTCGCCCCTCTTCCTACTCATTCCTTGTGCCCCTCCTCCTGGTCTTCCTCCCTCCCTCTCTCTCAAACACAGGCCACCTCCTGCTTCTCCTCTTCCTCCTCCTCCGTTCCCTCGCCGTCTGGTTTGACGGCCACCGGGGTTTAGCGCCAGGAAGACAACGAGAAGAACTAGGGGGAGGAGCAATATGAGGGGGGGAGTGACGGGAGAGACGGGGGAGGGGGAGGACGACGACGATGAGGACGAGAACAGGGAATAAGAGGAGGACGATGAGAAGGTGATGAGGGGCCCAATGAGGGGGCGGGTAGATGAAGAGGAAAGCAGGAGAGCAGGACCAGGAGGGGAGCTGAAGGAGGCGGCGGAGGAGAGGGCCTGACGACCTGAAGACATGAAGGCATGAAGCCGGATCCCCTCAAGCATGAGGTCGTGGGATATCGGCCTGACGACCTGAAGACGTGAAGACTTTGCGGCATTCATGCCTTCATGCCTGAAAGCCTAAAGACTTTAAGACTGCGTGTCTTCATGCCTTTATGTCGTCGTCCCGACGACCTGATCTTCGCGTCTTATGTCTTCATGTCGTCGGTCCGACGACCTGATCTCCGCGTCTCCATGCCTTCATGTCGACGGGGCGACGACCCGATCCTCGCGTCATGTCTTCATGTCGTCGGGCCGACGACCTGATCTTCATGTCGTCATGCCTTCAGGTCGTCGAGCCCCACCTCGGGCCAGGGCCCCCTCAGACGAGACATGCATGTATTCACGCCTTCATGTCGTCGGACGAGGGTCGCGGGAACCCACAGCCATTAGACGAGCGCGTTCCCCTACTCGCAAAGTCTCTACTCGCAAACGACCTGGATCTGGCGCGGGGAATCCACGATAATTTGCAGCGAAGCAGACATCTGTTTTTCGGACGTTTGCAAGTAGGCACTTTGCGAGCAATGGAACGCGCTCGGTCAGCCATCGGAATGCAATTCTGAGGCAAATCAATCTTGTAGTCGTTCTCCTCCTCGAAGGGTGAAGGGTTGGGGCCTGGGTTGGTGAGCCTGTTCTCCACCACCACCACCACAATAAGTTGGAGGGGAAGAGGGTCCTCCTCCTCCTCCTCCTCCTGCTCCTCCTCCTCCTCCTCCTCTAGAGGCCTCCTAGATGGGGTCGGAGTAGATAGGGTCGGAGAATCGCGCCGCATCGCCGATACATCGGCGATGCATCGGCGATGCATCGGCGATGCATCGGCGATGCACCGGCGATACATCGTCGACGTCGGCGATGCATCGGCGACGTCGACATGAAGCAAATCGGGCTCCACATCGAGCCGCATCGGCGATGCATGCGGCGCGATCC